TGGGAGTTCAGTGACATAGCCATTACGCTCACTGCTGGTCCTGGCTTTTAAGTTTTTATATAAATGTGGAATAATATTTTTTTAGAAGTAGCATTTCTATCTGTCAAGTCCTTATTCAAGACCAGTAGAGGAAGGGAGAAGACCAGCAGTAGGTGTCTTTTTTTTCTTTTGTTAGATTTATTTTCTCTGAGAGAGAGGCAGAAAGACAGAGAGAAACCCTCAATGGAGTCTTGATGTCACAATGTATCCTCTGGTTCTCCCAGCCCCAAATCATGGGTAGGTACATGCCTCAAGATGCGAATTTGGAACCTTTCCATGTGTGTCAGGTTGGAATCTTCCCATGCGTGTTTTAAAGTTTTGCTGTTGCACCAGTGTCTAGTCTGTGCTGTGTGTCTTTTCAAGAAAAACCGAAACCTTTTCAGGAATATAAGCAGAAGTTCATTTAATTCTCATTGATTGGAACTGTGGTCATTCTCACATGGCCATTCTATGGCTAACAGAAAGGCTTGGGAAGATAGATGCCAGTGTTTCCACTGCATGAACTTACTCTCTCAACTCAAACCACTTACTTTCCAAAATTCCGGAACTATTTGATTTAGAAAGTGGGGGAGAGCTTAGCTATTTCTTCTTCATGGTAGAGGCAAGCAAGAATAAAATTGTTGGAAATTAGTTTTTATCAAGCCAACAATGCCTACCTTAGAGAAAATGGCCATGGTATCAGGTGCTTCTGTGAAAGACTGATCAAGATGAGACTGAAAAAGTGATTTCTGTATTGGGTGATGTGGGGTGTTGGTGCCCTTGATGAGAACAGAAGTAGAGACTGAAGTTCAAGATCAGTAACATTTGAAAGGCTTGGTAAATGACTCAGGCTTTCTTTTGAAATCCCACAAGAATCTTGCCCTAAGTAGTTAGGGCAAAATGGAAACAGACAACCCTGTCAAAGCCTAAAGCCAATCCCCTCCAGGATCAAAGATACCTGCTTTTACTGTCTGCCTTCTAAAGAAAAATATAATCCTCTTTCTTTGGGGCAAAAATAACTTCTTTAGAATATCTTCAATATTTTATCTTCTATGTCTGGCATCCAGTAAAAATTATGAGCTATGGTTAAAAAAATAGAGTCAGGGTGGGTATGTGAATAAATGAGTGTGAAGGATTGACCAGAAACAAATAAAGCAACAGAGGATGTCAGGCCTACAGGTATTCAGATAGTTAAACTTAGCAGATAGTTCCTTCAACAAATATTCATTGAACATTCAACAAATTACAGTTGACTAGCTGCTAAATGCCATGGATTTGGGATATATCAGATAGTTCTGGCTATGCTGTTACCCAGATGTTTCCAAATACCTGATAAAAGTAGTAACAAAGCTTTAACCTTAAATCGTGATTATCTAAAAAAAATCATTAATGTTGAATGAGTTTATTGCCTGTGCTGAATATACTCAAAATGATGATGTTGTATACCATCTAAAAGATAGTACCTAACCAGTCCCAAAATATTTTCAGCAATTATAGTATTCAGTATTCTTAGACTAATTGAAGTATCTTCTAAGATGACTGCTTTGATTCAAATTTTATCTATATTTTCAGTTTACATTCAGTAACTGTGGATTCTAAGTAAATTATGTTATTAAGCATTGAGAATAAGGTAAACTGTGAAAAAAAGAACTAATTCTGAAGCCACCTAAGAGGTAGCTTTTTTTTTTTGAGAGAGAGTTTTTTAAATTTTTTTAAAAATTTTTATTTTTATTTTCATCATAATCTTCTTTGTATTATATTGGATTACATATAACTTTACAGTGTATTACATTGCTTTTTCAAAAGGGAATGCCATGCATGTCAGTCAATACAGACATTAATCTCCCCGCTTTATCATTCAATATCTTTTCTATGTTTGTCCCAATCATTATTATTATTTGAATTATTTTTTAAAACAGTCAATCACTATTTCTCATTTTGCTTGTAAAAAGACTTTACTCATCATGAAATACTTCTCAGACCAATCCAGTTGAGAATACTATACATGTCATCATCAACAGGTAATAAGCCATATCTGTTTCTCACTAACGTCCTGCCTCTCTATTGTTCTCTTGCTATCTTTCTCTATCATCTTCTCTTCACCCCCCCATTCCACACTGTCCTATTCTCGTTAAGTACCTTCACTGCTTTTATGTCCTCCAATTTTTCACTCAGAGAGAGAGAGAGAGAGAGAGATTTTTGATATAGGGCATGTGTGTTCTCTGTAGAGACAAGAGAGACAGAAAGCAAGAAGTTACCCCCCCAGGGGAGATGGCCATGCTGCAATCCTTTTTCCTTCATTCTTCTCTTGGGACTTTGGGCATGCACATGCACAGGAGTGAGTTTTAAGCCACCAGGTCTGGGACTCAAACTGTGGTTGAGTGTGTGGGAGTCCAGTGGCATAACCATTATTCCATCTACTGGTCTAAGAGGTAGCTTTTTAATGTCTTCTTAGGAATTGGTAACTTTCCAATTTTTTAGCCAATGACCAGATTAGACATTTAAGAAAAAAAATGGGCCAGCAGATGGCATGATGGTTACGTCACTGGACTCCTACATGGCCAACTATGGTTTGAGTTCTGGACCCAGTAGCTTCAAACTCAAGCTGGACACATGTGTGTGTGTGTCCAAAGTCTTGAGAAGAGAATGGAGGAGAAGGGATTGCAGCATGGTCATTGCCCCGAGGGGTGATTTCTCACTTTCCGTCTTTCTTTCTGTCACTCTTTCTCCAGTGAGCACACATGCCCTATAGCAAAAATCCTTCTTTAAAAAATTAAAAAGAAGAAGAAGAAGAAAGAATAGACTCTATTTAAGAAAGCATAATCTGGCCTAGCCATAGTGGCACAAGAGGAAAGTCACTACTGCATGAGGTTGGAGCTACATGGGAGACCTGGTTTGGACATTAGTAGACCCATCATCCTTGTTAAATGGGAAGCTGCAGCAGAGGATCACAAAAGCAAGAAAAATAAATACCTCTCTCTCCTTTTCCATTCCTCTCTTCTTTATCTTTCTTTCTCCCTTTCCTCTCAAAACAAAACAAAAACAATCAACAACAAACTGTAATTCATAATTGCATTGTAATGATGTTTTGGAGATAATCAATTGGTATAATCTATTTTTTTAAAAAATTCCTCTTGATAGCTTCTCTTTTCTCTAACTTTATTTCCGTAGAATCATTTAAGAATTTTAGGCAGTTTTCTTCCAGATAGCCAAAACTAGTTCAACTCTTTCTCCCCTGAACTATTGTAACAACTTCCAAATTGGTTTTCCTGCCTTAAACATCATTCCTTTTAAATTTGTCATCTATACTATGGCCACTGTGATCCCAGTCTTAACCCATGTCATTCTTACCAGTTAAAAAGACTATAGGATGCACATAGCCCTTAACTTTCCAGCCCTTACTAATGCTATCTAATTTCCTGTTAGTTTCACTCTTTCTCAAATCATACCATCATTAATTTTAAACTTCTTTTAGTTTCCTACAGTTATGTTCATATTTTATGACTCTATACCTTTCCCTGAAACACCCTTCTTGGCTGCTTAGTTGGCTAAATCCTCTTTATTCCTTGAATCTATTATCATGTGCTCCAGGAAGCTGTTCCTGAACTCTTCAGCTCTATTAAAAACACCATTCTGATAGTACTATACTACCCATATTATATATAGCATTTTTTTTACATGCTTTATCTTTATTTTACTGTAAGCCCTTTTCTTTCTTCCTTTTCTTTTCTTTCTTTCTTTTTTTTTAAGAAATACATCATGGCTTTATTTGGGGTAGGGTTTCTTAAGTGAGGCCTTTTAAAACTCACTTCTGTGTCAGGGCTATGTTTTGAAGATCAAAGATGTAAGGCAGATAAGTGGCATACGATACTCCTTGAGTAACCTTATAGCATCCTGAGGGACAAAAACTAAACTATGAGTTTTTGTTTGTTTTTATTATTTATACTTAATCACTGTACATCTTTATATCATACAAAATGGGTTTTCCCAGTGGGAATACAGTGCATATTAGCTAAGTCATAGATATTACCATGTACAATATCATCAACACATTATTTTCATTTTTGTTTCTGTAAAGTGTTTTTGTCCCCGATCCCCTCCTTCCATCCCTTGTTACCGCCCCTTCCTGTACTAGCTCTAGTATCTTCTGCTTTCCCTGCTATTATACCTTCTAGTCTTTCAGTTTCTGCCATGGACTGCAGACATTTAGTACATGTTAAGTGGGGACATACAATGCCTACCTTTCATAGTTTAGCTTGCTTCACTTAACATTAAATCTTCTATATTTGTCCTGTGAGTTTTTAAAAGACTGTTAACTTATTTGTTTTGCTAGGATATTATATGACTCAGTGTTGAACTTGTCTGACTGACCTAATTTGAGAAGTTTACAGTCCAAGTATCATGTCCAAAAATATTCAAAACAATTTATGGAACACAAAGTGTAAGGCTGAGAAATAAAGAAGGAGGATAGAGATAGGAATATTTATCAAGAACTCTAAGATAAGGAAAATTCCAGTGTGCTATCTCTACATTTGCTCACCTGGAAAGGAAACACTAAGATTCTTTTAATATCTTCCTAATATAAAATGTAGTAGTTAAATATATGAGTTAATATAGTGTTAAAAAGTAACTCCTGGTATGTCTAAGAGCAATTTCTTTTTTTGAAGAATGGAAAATGTGAATTTTTTTGCTATTAGTATTTTCCGATTCTAGTGAGCCTATAAGAGATATTATTAGGGGCTGGCAAGTGGTGTGGTGGTTAAGGGTGCTGGACTCCCACGTGACTGATTACGGTTTGAGTCCCAGACCTAGTGACTTGCTTTCTCACTCCCCCTCCCCACCTGCTCTTGCTCTGTCCCTCAAAATTAATTAATTAATTAATTAAAATGAAATAATTCTCTTAAAAAAAAAGAGAGAGAGATGCTTTTAGAGTAGATAGTGTTATGGTAGAGCATCCAGCTGCCCTCACTTGCAGAAAATATTTCTCAGAACAAATTGTTTTTTGTATCCATTTCATAGTCACTAAGTAACATTCAAAGCTGTAGTTTAGATTCTAAATGTTGACCTATATTGGACGTGTATTGGAGGAATACTCTGATTAGATGACTTACTCACTGCTATCTCAGATAAAGTTTTAAATGTCACTGCTATCTCAGATAAAGTTTTAAATGTTGGTTACTGTATAAATCAGTTCCTTGTGAGTTTGCCAGTATGCATCAGTTCTCAGAGCCAAGAAACACTGGGTGAACTGAAGAAAGTGTCTGGTCTTACAGAGTTTTAAACCCTGCAAATCCAAATCTTACTCGTTACCTGACATTCTTACCCCACTCCAGCCACCTGTGATGTCTAGAACAATGAGCCTTTTTCTTTGCCATTTATTTTTGTCAATATATTTGTTTATAAACAGATTACTTGATAGTTATATATGTATTCTGCTTAATATGTTTTAGAATTATTTTGTTAATGTTAACCATATGGCTATCCAAAGGTAAATTTTCTTTCTTAAAATATTACACATTATAACTGATAGAGAATTTACATTTCCATCAAATATTGCCTTTTGTAGACAAAATATTAGTTGTCATATTTAAAACTTCTTTTTGCCTCTTCAGTTTTATCGAGCAGAAGTTGAAGCACTCCATTCTTCAGGTATGACAGCTGTTGTTAAATTCACGGATTACGGAAACTATGAAGAGGTGCTACTGAGCAATATCAAGCCCATTCAAACAGAGGCATGGGTACGTGATCCAAATTCTGTACAAAGGCATACGCTATTCTAAATTTGCTTAAAATTGGCTACCCGTAAAATAAGGTTTTAAATAATTATACTGAACTGTAATAAAAATGAATGCATTGGAATTATGTTTCTTGTATAATGCTTTGTTGTATTATGATCTGGAAATACATGCTCTTATTTACACGTTTGCCAAAAATTTGTATGTGTAAAATGGGTTTTTATGCATATTTTTTCTTTTCCAATTTGTTGCTTTGAATTTGACTAAATTATGTCCAGCACTTGTCACATTTAAATTTCTATTAGATACATGCATATTATTATTTTAGTTACATGTAAAATAAGAAAAATACTACATTACATATGAATTGACACTCTATTTCCTATACAGATATTTATATATGTATAGATTAAATATCTCTGTTTAATAATTATTTTACTGATTTGGTTGCCAAATGTTATGCCAAAGCTATATGACAAGTTTGATGATGTAAGTTAAAACTATTGGCCTCATATAATCCATTTTATACAGAACTTAGTTGACTTTATATAGATAGATTCTGAAGTAAGTTTAGGCAAAATAGGAATCTTACAACATATTAGAATTTGTTTCATAAAGTTTTTATTTTTTATTTCTCTCAATTTATAGTTAATTATTAATAAATTTATTCAAATGATAAGCCTAATCTGTTGCTATTTCCACAAAATAGCAAAATATGAGAGGAAAATTATATCATCCAGATAGTCATCCTCAACATTTAAGCATACATTGCTTTTCCATGAACTGTGTTTAGTTTTGATCTTCTTAAATTTTTCTCTCACATCTTTGGTGGGGTCCCCTTTTCCCCCTAAATATAAATAAAACAGCAACAAAAAGTCTAATAACAGTAATTATGTTTGGGGCCGTAAATCATTATTTTTTTTTACCTTTTTATTCTAGAAAAACTATCACTTTATAGATAATTTATCATTGCATATTTTACAGTATAATATTAATAATGGTTCATGTTTCATTAAAAGATTCTATTCCTCATGCTCATTCTCTAAAGTTTAGCTACTTTTTTACTGAAAGATTTTAATACCATCAGTGTATAATTTCTGTCTTTTTTTAGAGAAACTTGATATAACCATGTTTTTATTCTCATGGTTCTCATATGTTAGCTATTTTCAATCTATTTTTGTCCACTAATATTCACATTTTAATCTAGTTTTGATGGTGAAAATAATTACTTATTGAATCTATGCTTCTAGAAGTTGAGTCCTGGTTTGCTATCATTAAGTGGTCCTAATTTTTTTTTTGGCTGTAGCAGTAGAATATTCAAAATAAAATGCCTGCATTATTTAGTTTTTAAAAATTTTTAGTCGACTTAATAAGAAATTAAATTTATTATTTTCTCTTTAGAGAAGAATGTAGTTTTCTATCTTTGTTTCTTCTCTCCTCCTTTTTCCTGTTTTAGGGTGGCCATTACTGGTGAGCACACTTGTTATTCCTCACTATAGCACTTCCATTTAAAGGTGTTTGGTCCTGAGTGATCATTTTCTTTCTCAATTCAGTGACTTCTCTTTTCTCCCCTTAATGGTCTTCATTGATTTGTCCTTGATTTTAGGTCTGTGTAAACTCAGCTGGACCATACACTTATCAGATGGCACAGCCTATTTAGTGATTCTATTCTGACCTACAGCAATACTTTCATATTCTTCCTTCCCATTAGTGAATACTGTACTCATCTCTGCTTTATTGAGCCATTTTTTAAACTAATTCCTTTTTCTTCAGTTAACTTGAAATCTTATAAGATGCTTAAAATACTTTGTAGAAAAAAGCAGGATAGAATCACTAAATCTTTTATGTGTTCTAGTATTTCTTTTTTCTTAAAGTTAATCAAGTAATTGTCAATGTTTTATCATTTTGCATGGATCCTGCACATCATTGAGGAAAATATCAGCCATTCTTTATCTGTGAATAATTAACCTAATCTCTATTTAAAAAAAAAATCTATGTACATATACGTAAAAAGCCCCTGAAGAAATACAGTTGGTGTAGCTTCCAGTACCTGTAGAGTCAGTATAGTTAGTTATCTTAGCCTCAAAGTATTAATGGTAGAGTCTCTGAGCATTTTTTTCTTTGTGTAACTAGGGAATAGTAACAATTTATAACTTATTTCAAGATGTACAAAATTATCAAAAGCAGAAATTTATTGTACCAATAAGAAAGTAATTGATAGGTCATACTAAGTTAAAGGGCTATAGAAGTGCAGGGAAATTTTTAGAGGCCTTAGTATAATTATTCACTCATACTATTGGTTTTAGGGTGAATTAGAATTTTTAATTTTTTAACTCTTGACTATGTATGTGCTTTACTTTTTTTTTACTGTGAGATGATGTCATATCTTTTTTTTAAGAGTTTAAGTTTGTTATTGGCACAAGATTTTGGAAAACATCTTGTTTTCCCATATGTAGCAGTCTTCATTTAATTAAAAATTTTTTAAGGTAGCTTGCAGTCTACAAAAAGCCTGCATATAAGCCAAAAGCCTTTATAGAAATAGTTGCCTGGATTGTTTCTTAAAGGTGTAAGGCTAAATCACTACATTAACAGCATGAAATATTAAGAGACACAGTGACTATATTGATAGTCTGTTGTATAGAAAATTAAAAATAAAAATCAAGTTAATACTTTAAGTGTTAATGTTTTTCTCATGGGGTTTAGAAATTATTTGCTTAAATTTTTCTCTAAGCCAAACAACTGTTTCCCGTTTGGATACACCTTTTTACTTCCAGAACACACTCAGTGATGACATTTTAGATGGCTCAAAAGTATTTTCTGATTATGGTCACATATTTCTTCAAAAATGATTTAATAAATTTTAAGTTATTGTTTCTTCTAAAATGATTTATTAAACTTACGGCTATTAAACTTTAAACTGAGTTTATTGTTCTAACTAGATGTCACCCGGTTCTTTTGGCTATTGTAGGATATTCTCTCTTAATTTGGTGAATTAATTATCATGTCTAATGTGAGATTCACAGTTCATTATTAACTGGATGAATGCTTTAATTTTTTTGTTTTTATTTTTGTTTTGTTTTAAAGAATGGGTACTTTGAACATTGCAGGGTTTTTCTTATTTTAGCAAACTTAATGAAGATTTATGCATTCTTATATTTTACTTGTAATATTACATATGGGAAAATAGAAAATACCATATTGTATTTTCACAACTGTATGAGAAAACATTTAAGGTCAATGAAAACATGCTATTTGTGTTCCCTGTAGGATCTTTCCAAATCAGTTTCTTTTAATTCTAAAACTAATATGTGGAAACCAGCAAAAAGATAACACAGCAATTTAGAAGCACTGTAAAATACCCTGGTACTGCTCATACAAATCTTTGGTGGTTGTTGGTTGTAGTTGATTCTGATTTGTTCTTCCAAACCTGGAAAGACACTGACAAGTCCTAGTTTTACAAGGACATTCATGACCTGAGTTCTGCTGAGACTTATATCACAAGAAGTATTTTAGAACACAGTAGTTTCTAAACTTTCTTTTCAGGCGTTCATAGTATATGGTTCTTGGTATCAGGAAATGATCATTGTTCAGCTATTGGTCCAGCTAGAAAAAAAAAATGATAGTGTCGATAGTGATTCATTCTAAGACCTTAATATACATATTATCTTGGGTAGTAATTCTAGAAAGAAACAGGTGGGTTTTTATTGTCTTTTAGATGATTATTCTGTCTTAGGTATTTTCACTTATTCAACAAGTATCGTTGCGTATCTACTATGTCCCAGGAGTATTCATTTATTCAACAAGTATTCATTGCATATCTATTATGTCCTAGGAAATTTTCTAGGTGAAGGATATGTATTCACATAAGTCCACATAACACACACAAAAAATCTCTGCCCATGGGGTCAGCAGGTGGCGTAGTGGTTAGGGCGCTGGACTCCCACATAGTCTACCACAGCTTGAGTCCTGGACCCAGTGGCTTGAATCTCCTGCTGGGCACATGTGTGTGTATGTTCAAAATCCTGAGAGAAGAATGGAGGAGAAGGGATTGGAACATGGCCATCCACCTGGGAGGGTGATTTCTTGTCTTCTGTCTATCTGTCTCTCCAGCAAGCACACATGCCCTATACCAAAAATCTCTAAAAAAAAAAATCCCTGTCCTTTGCACAAAGTATGAAAGTTACAGTTTCCATTATATGAAACATACTTAAACATTTCTTTAAGGTATTTATTCATAAAGTACTAGTGGAGAAAGTCCTTGTTTACTGAAATTTGGAAGCTTTAAAATAAAATACTAATGGAGAAGATTCTCTTGTTTATAAAAATTTTTATTTCAATAATGTATAGGTTTTTATTATATTTTATTCTACCTTAGTTTGAAGATAAATTAAAGTGGAAAAAAATTAGAACTTAATGAATGTTATCTCCTCTATGAATAGTTATTGACTATTTTATTTTTTTATTTAAAAAGTAAAATTTGTTTTTAAGAGGGTTTGTGATCTGTAGAAGAGGGTTTTTATAATAATTATATTTTTTTGCATTAGCTTACTATAAAAAAGCTTAATCTCAAATTTGACTTTTGAAGTAATTTTATACAAATTTATTTTATAATGGGTTCCTGGGAAGCACATTTGAAAGTTTCTTTTTCAAATTTAAATAGCATGTGTAAAAAACCATAAGTTACTCTACCACTAATAAAAATATTAAAAGAATCATAACTAAAAAAGAAAACCACTTACCTATGTAATGCGGAAGGTGATGGAGAGTTGTGATATGTAAATTGAGTTTAAAATGAATCCTAAGTGTATTAGAGCAAAGTCATAATAGGACTTTAAATGACATAGTGTTAAAATTAGGCTATCACTAGTTTGTATTTGATATCAAAAGACCATAGTAGATCCTCTAAAAAGGATAATTGTTATTAAAAACCATTAACTTCAAAGGAAGATCAGAATTATGTCTCAGTGAGTTTCTGCCAATTAGTATTTAGTAAAAAGTGAAGTACCTATTTGATTGTAGTTCAGAAGTTTTTTATTCTTTCTGATAATATTTTTTAATTGGTGGATATAACTTATCATACGTAAATTTCTGCACAGTTTGGTGAAGGTCACTGAAACACTAAAATATATTTTCTTCTATTGTACATATTTTGGGAAACTTTCCTTTCAAAGACTTCAGTACAGTCTGTGTTCTTTTATAGTATATACACAGAGTAAACCAGATTGAAATTCTGTAGCTAGTTTAACCCCATTTAAGAACATAATTTTTAAATTATGGGCCTGCAATTTGGGGATTCCATGCAATATCATTAAGCTTTCTTTTAATAAAGTTTGGTTGTATTAGATGTGCTTTCTTTGTTACCTAGCCTTTTGCAATACCTGTAGGAGGCTGTGAATTAAACACAAAGAGATATGATACTGGAGATATGAAAGCTGCTGACAGATGATTCATTCATAAATGCACTTCGTGTGCATAAATATGTCACCATATCTACCTGTTGAAATGCAGATTCAGTTTGTGCTAGCTAAATCTAACAGAATATTATGAAAATCTTGAGATTTAGTTTTGACCCAGCTATGCCATTCAATAGAGATAATTTATTCCACCATTTAAATTAATATTAAGAGAATAATATGCTATGTAAGAATCTGTACAAAAGTATTGTTTGAATTTTGGTGTTTGATAACAATATAATGTGATCTATTTAAAGAAACTATACAAACATACATTTTTGAAAGGTTTCTGGATAATCTGAGTTTTCCTTTATTGAGTCACAAATGTACAGATCATATTATTTCATGTTACTTCTTTTAAAAAACAAAATCACTCTCCAAGTGAAATAACATGGTAGGATTTTACCTAAAATATGCTATCTTTAAAAAAAAAGTGTTTTAATGAGACTATTTAATTTGGGTCTAGCTTTAATGATATTTTCTAAAATAATATTAAGCCTTTATATTATTATTATTATTATTTAAATATTAATATTATGTATCAGATCAGCATAACTATCTGAAAAATCTACAGCATTTTTATTTTTTATACATGAATAATAATAGAAGATATTGCATTGTTTTATTACTTAAGTTTTCCCTTTATTAATGGCTACCCAAAGTAGGGACTTGTGACCAAATGGTGTTGGTTAATTAAGTAATAAGTTCATGATTCATTTTACATTTATATTTCTACTGAATATTATATAATTTTGTTTTTTTCCTTCAAAGTTGTCTTAAGGAGGCATGGTGGGTGAGAGCCACAGCTAAAGGGGGCTGATATTGTCTGGTAAACTGTTCCCTTTGATACTTTTGATTCAGGAGACCCAAGGCTTGTTCTCATCCCCGTGTAAATTTTGTCATTTTATCTGCTTTACTTATAGGGACTTGTAGAGTTCTGATTTCAGACTGCACTAAATTTTACCATTCCTTTACAAATATATGCAAAAGACTTGCTGATATATTCATTGTATAGGAAATAAAGTAATAAAATAAATGAACTCGAAGGACATTCTATTTTATTTCTGCGTTCTCCAAGATGTCCATCTTATACTGGATTTGTGTCACTATGCTTTAAAAAAAATCTAAAAAGTAATCTTTCCTGAATAAAATAAAAAAATAAAAACAACAACCCATAATTCCATTTTAGTTTCTGATGAATTTCTGAGACTCTTTGATCTGCATCTGAGACAGCAGAAAAAAATGTGTTGCACCATGGAGTTTATTTCCTTTTAGATGAAACCCCTTCTTCAATGCAGCTTTTTTCTTCTATGGTCAGTGATAGTTGGTGGAGCTGGGCTAACATGGACTTATAATACATATCAGATTGCATACCACAATAAGTTATCAGTTGTTCATTCTTTTTTAAAAATCTTATATGGTCATATGTGTTTCTCTACTTGTTTCTCTACATTCTTCTGTTTATTAATCATCTCTCCCTATTTTCATTTTGTACCTTAAATACTGTATCCTTTGGGGTTTTCATAACTTCGTTTTTTTTTTACTTCCGTTGGGTGGTATCTTTTGATGTTTATAGACTACCTTTTCTATTGATTTCAATTTCCTGAACTTTACTGGGCCTGTGCTGTTTACTCTAGACTAACGTACAATAGGTTTCACCATCGCACCTCTAGTAGAAAAGTAGAGTTGATCTATTTCCTTGTGAGAAATATTCTGGTGTTATAGAGCTTCAAGTCCCATTAAACTTGGAAATTATTGGCAAGAGTGTTACATGTTGGCTTGAAATAACTCCGTTAGTGGCCTGTCATTGTCTGAGAGCTCCATTCAGAAGGGAAAAGAAATTCTGCAACAGTGAGTACATTTTATCTGCCTTAAAACTCACGTAATTTAACATAATGAAGAAGTAGTGGGGAGACAGCTTAGACCACCTTTAAGAATACAGAAGTATATATCTCTTCAAGCTTCATCCGTCTAGTTTGGGGATTCTCATGTGTGTTCAGAGAACATTAGTTCTACTTCATAGTTAAACAACTTTGGGAATTGTTGGATTAAAAAACTTAAGTATACTTGTTGATGACACGACTTCTTTGAGCCAGTGACAAGCTAATATAAATTTTAAATCTCCGAGAGAGTTATAATAAAATGTGTTGTGCCTTACAACTTATTTCCTTGTGGAACTCTCCCCTGCCACCTCTAAAAAGAAGTTATAGGAAATCTACAGGGGATACATAGAAAACATCTGAATTACATTCTTATCTTTCTACTTTTCAGATTCCTCATATGTAAATAGGTGAAGATATTTCTTTAAAAGATATTGTTCTAGATTTTGCCAACCTCTAATAATATGGTTAATAATATGGTATTTTACAATATAAATAGACATTAAATATATGAAAAGCAGTTTCTCCTGAAATATGTTCTAAGATTCTTTCATTTTCTGTAATGGGAGATTGAAATATACTCCTGAAATTTTATATCCCTTTTAAGTACGTATGCCATTAGTGTTTTATTGTGTAAAAATAAAGATTTTCTTTTATATAATTATATACAACTCACTGGTATTTTAATTTTATTTTAACTTTATTTATGGAAACTTTTATTCATTCACTTTCAGAAATTGCCATTTGCAAAGTCTCCCATTGTAGCTTTAATATTACCATCTTTTTCTGTAATTCTCACCTGAGAACCCACATGATGTTTGTATGGCCCAGCAGTAAGTTAGTTTCTCTCATCATTTTAGAGGGTTTTGTATTTGTTATTCACCAGCAATCTAGTCTAAGGCAAAACTTGAAAGGCCTCTTTTTGTTTTTGGTTAAGCTGACATTGGCTACTAAATTGAAAAAATGTCAAAGTAGGTTAATTCCATTGAATATATGGACATTCTTAGAGAACAGGACTCCTGAAAGTCTAAAATTTCTTCACTGTTTCACTTGTATTGCTCTTTTTACTAATAGATTCGAATGTTGTCTCTGAAGACTTTGAATAGTTTTGTTTTAATTAGTTAATAGTTTTGTTTTAATTAGTTAAATTATTCAGTCTCTTAGAAAACAGACTCTTAACAGCTCTTGGTCTCCTTTTCTTATTTTTCACATACTAGTTTTTAAATCAGATGAACTGATAATCTCAGATCTAATGCTAGAGCTCACTTGA